AGAGCTGGATTAGATGATCTTATTAGATGCTCTGTGTCTAAACATGTTTTCTTATCTTGTTAAGAATCTGTAGTTTTAGGTTGGATTAAGCTACATTGTTCAGAATTGGAATTGAAATATAATTGAACAACTGCCTTACTTCTGCATTAGGTTGGTTCACTCTATATTTCATATGCAGATCCATAAACATCTCATTATGTGGAAATTCTCATGCTTTTAGGATATCGAGGTGAATAGCAGAAAAGTTAAAGTGCACCAAGGCAATGGGAATTTCGATCTTAGGGAATGGAAGACTCTAAGAGTTGGGGATGTATTGAAGGTCGAGAAAAACGATTTCTTCCCGGCAGACCTTGTCCTGCTTTCCTCTAGCTATGAGGATGCTGTTTGCTATGTAGAGACAATGAACCTTGACGGGGAAACAAATCTGAAACTTAAACAAGGACTAGAAGATACTCTGCCATTGCGTGAAGAGCTCAATTTCAGGGACTTTGAGGCTTTTATCAAATGCGAGGATCCGAATGCGAACTTGTACTCGTTTGTTGGTACTATGGAGCTTAAAGGAGCAAAGTACCCTCTCTCACCACAACAGCTTCTTCTGAGGGGCTCAAAACTCAGGAACACAGACTATATCTATGGGGTTGTTATCTTCACGGGCCCTGATACAAAGGTTGTCCAGAATTCAACAGGGCCTCCGTCAAAGAGAAGCATGATTGAAAGGAAGATGGATAAAATTATATATCTGATGTTCTTTGTGGTAGTTTCATTGGCATTTTTTGGTTCGGTTTTGTTTGGAATATCAACAAGAGAAGACTTCCAGAATGGCATCATGAAAAGATGGTATCTGAAACCGGATGATTCCGCAATCTTCTTTGACCCAAAGAGGGCGCCTATGGCTGCAGTCTGTCACTTTCTATCGGCTCTAATGTTAAACAGTTATTTCATTCCTATATCCTTGTATGTGTCAATAGAGATTGTTAAAGTTCTTCAGAGCTTCTTTATCAACCAGGATATCCATATGTACTACGAGGAAGCTGACAAACCAGCACATGCCCGTACTTCTAATCTGAATGAAGAACTTGGGCAAGTGGGTACAATTCTTTCAGACAAGACAGGAACATTGACGTGTAACTCCATGGAGTTCATTAAGTGTTCTATTGCTGGGACAGCCTATGGTCGTGGTGTTACAGAGGTGGAGATGGCTATTGGTAGGAGAAATGGTTCTTCTTTGGTGAATCAGAGCAATGAAAGTAGTACCGAGGATGTTGTTGCTGCAGAACCGACAGTGAAAGGATTCAACTTTAGAGATGAACGGATAATGAATGGAAACTGGGTCACAGAAACACATGCTAATGTCATTCAGAAATTCTTTCAATTGTTGGCAGTATGTCATACAGTCATACCTGAAGTGGATGAAGATACAGGAAAGATCTCCTACGAGGCTGAATCACCAGACGAGGCAGCATTTGTTATTGCAGCAAGAGAGCTTGGGTTTGAATTTTTTGTTCGAACTCAGACAACAATATCCGTTAGAGAGCTATACCCGGTGACTGGCGAACGAGTTGAAAGGTTGGTCTTTCTTTTCTTCTTTATTGTATGCCATCAAAAACTTCTTTCTGTTTTTTGATTTAGTGAATGGTTTCCCTTTGCAGGCTCTATAAAGTCCTCAACGTTCTTGAATTCAGTAGCTCAAGGAAAAGGATGTCAGTAATAGTGCGCGATGAAGATGGCAAACTCCTTTTACTTTGTAAAGGGGCGGACAGGCATGCGATCCCGACTTTAAGAACTCAGCTATACACCTCTTTTTTTAACTTAATTTCAACTTCTTCTATCATGCAGTGTCATGTTTGAAAGAATTTCCGAAAAAGGTAGAATGTATGAAGAGGAAACCCGGGACCATGTGAACGAGTATGCTGATGCGGGATTGAGAACTTTGATACTTGCCTATCGTGAACTCGACGAGAAAGAATTTGAGCTGTTCACTGAGAGAATCAGTGAAGCCAAGAATTCGGTTAGTGCTGATCGAGAAGCACTGATAGATGAAGTCACAGAGAAGATTGAGAAAGATTTGGTTCTTCTTGGAGCTACTGCTGTTGAGGATAAACTCCAAAATGGGGTAAGCTGCTATTATACGGAACCAAATTATAGATTGGTTAACTTCCTGAGTCGTACAAGGAAAGTGAAATTCTTTTTTCATTTTCTCTCTTGCCTGTCGTCTAGGTCCCTGAATGCATTGATAAGCTTGCTCAAGCAGGAATAAAGATTTGGGTTTTGACTGGAGACAAGATGGAAACTGCTATCAATATTGGGTATTGATTTCTGGGTACAACCTGATTATATTTACTCTCGAGCCTTCTACATACATTTTTGTTCACTCTCTGAACCCACATGTGTATGTACATGTTTGACAGCTTTGCTTGTAGTTTGCTCAGACGAGACATGAAGCAGATCATAATCAACTTGGAGACCCCCGAGATCCAGCAGTTGGAAAAATCAGGAGAAAAAGATGTCATTGCAGAGGTAATAATATTTTTTGGAATACTGATTTGATGAAGAGGGAATAATGTTACAGCGATTTTGTAACGAATCCATGTGGCTATTTTCTTGCAGGCTTCAAAGGAAAATGTACTGCGTCAGATAACTAATGGAAAGGCTCAGCTAAAGGCGTCTGGTGGAAACTCTGAGGCTTTTGCATTAATCATTGATGGGAAATCACTCGCTTATGCACTGGAGGATGATATGAAAGACATCTTCCTTGAGCTGGCCATTAGTTGTGCCTCAGTTATCTGTTGCCGTTCATCACCAAAACAGAAGGCCCTGGTCAGTTCTTAACATTATCCATCACAACTGTCATATACTTACCGGCTGCCTAGCTTTTTCTCAAGATTCATATTACATAGGTAACAAGACTAGTCAAAACCGGAAGCGGTCAGACGACACTGGCAATTGGTGATGGCGCAAATGATGTTGGAATGCTTCAAGAAGCAGATATAGGAGTTGGGATCAGTGGAGTGGAAGGAATGCAGGTCCTACAAAGAATTATAAAACAACCATTTCCAGCTTTATTTGCTAAAATTTACTTGACTCATTGTAATAATATTCCAGGCTGTAATGTCCAGCGACATTGCCATTGCTCAATTCAGATATCTGGAGCGCTTGTTACTCGTCCATGGACACTGGTGTTACAGGCGGATCTCAAAAATGGTATAGTATAATCTGCGACTTTTGATTGACACTAACCTTTGGTCTCATCATCCTTTTGAGCTGTTGACTAGTTTTCTCAATATTTGTGTGTTCTTATTTGCAGATTTGCTACTTCTTCTACAAGAACATCACATTTGGTTTCACTCTCTTCTTATATGAGGCATACACATCATTCTCTGCTACACCTGCTTACAATGACTGGTACCTATCTCTCTATAGTGTCCTCTTCTCGTCTCTTCCAGTAATTTGTTTGGGCATCTTCGACCAGGATGTATCTGCACGGTTTTGTCTTAAGGTATATAATCATTTAGATCGAAAAAGCTGCTTAATCTTTTCACCGTTCTACTGAATTTCTTAACCCAAAGTGTTGCTTTGTTTACTGTCACAGTTCCCCGTATTATACCAAGAAGGTGTACAGAATCTACTCTTTAGTTGGCGCCGGATACTCAGCTGGATGTTCCATGGCTTCTGCAGCGCAATAATCATTTTCTTCCTCTGCACAACCTCTCTTGAATCTCAAGCTTTCAACCACGAAGGGAAAACCGCGGGGAGAGATATTCTAGGAGGAACGATGTACTCATGTGTGGTGTGGGTTGTGAGTTTGCAGATGGTATTAACAATCAGTTACTTCACAGTGATCCAACATCTCGTCGTTTGGGGATCCGTTGTTATGTGGTACCTTTTCTTGATGGTGTACGGATCCCTTCCAACACGTTTCTCAGCAGATGCCTATATGGTCTTTCTTGAGGCTCTTGCGCCTGCACCTTCTTACTGGATAACTACTCTCTTTGTCGTGCTATCCACAATGTTGCCTTACTTTGTCTTCTCTGCTATTCAGATGAGGTTTTTCCCAATGTCCCAAGGGGCCATACAGCTGCTTAAATACGAGGATCAGTGCAATGACCCTGGGGAGCTAGAAATGGTCAGACAGACATCAGTAAGGCCTGCATTGGTTGGTTTCACAGCTAGAATAGAGGCCATAAAGAGATCGGTCAGGAGATCACGTCAGCCACAATCTTGACAACTGGAGAAATAAGTGATAGATCGTCACAAGACTATAGAGAACAGAGGCTTTATAACTGATTTGTGTAGCATAATTTGTAAATTCTGATTATTGCGGCTTTGACCGGTAGAAAAACAAAAGAGTTTGTATGTCACGAACCATCTGATTATAGTAGAAAATAGTGGAAGATTTGTGTACATCGGTTAGATGAGAACAGAGAAAGATATACAACAATATTACAGCCTCTTCTTCTTGTCTATGGAGAAAGAGACTTGAATCTGTCTTCCTTTTCTGGATTCTTGATTCAACAACACAACATGAATGTGTTTTTGTTGCTATTTGGAATCGAGAATGTCAAGAGGAATTTTCATGGCGCCAGAAGCTTCCAAACACAAGCTCTTTGTTCATCGACAGTTCCTGCAACATTCCTTCAATATCTTCAATGCAATTAAATCTTGATGATCCTTCATCAAAGGCAAACCCATTTCCATACCAATGCTCATCTTTGACATCCTCCTCCATTGTTGGTTGCAAGGTCTTTCCGCATCTTCTCTTCACAAACTTCTTCATCTTCTGAACAAGTTTAATAGGGATCTTGAAGAAGACGAAGCCAGTGACTTGTAACACAAGGCACTGGCAGCAGCATGACAGGACAACACAGTCTGCTGCAAATGCACCACAATCTTCTTCCATAACTCTGTCCGATATGCGCAAAACTGTAAGGTTATAGAGATGATACATATATAGAACAATCACATGGGGTTTTGAGACATATTTACCGGCATATTTAGGAATCTTGGACGTCAAAAGAACTGTAGCTGCTTAAATCCTTGTTCCCTTTGATACTATTCCCCAACATGAAAGGTGGTTCATCAAAAAGGGTAGATCAGTCTTTTTACTCGTATTATAATTGGCAAAACTAGTCAATTGACCAGATGTATCATGTGACATAGGCAATGAAAAGAAAGTTTGGTGATAACATAAAGAAGCTTGTTGATTTATTATTAGCATAACATTGAGAGGACATGATAAAAAGCAGTTACATCACAAAAGAAAACAGATGCAAAATGTAAGAAAATGAAACCTCTTTTACGACCGACACTATCATTTTACTCATTGTCCTA